CTCTTGCCTTGCCTTTCCTCGATAGGGAACCTAATTGTGATCCTGTACCTATCTGCCTATCTGTTGTTTAACCCAGCTTGAGACCTGACTATATATTTCCACTGGGTGGATCACTGCTCTTCCAAGCTTGAGTTCACTGCTCCAGCTTCCTGGCACCTACGTACTTCCACTGTTCTAATGTGGTAGCACCCAGATATTGCAGAGTTCCCCTTTAAACTGTAACATTTCTAGCAGCCTCTGCTTGTGAAGCAAAGTTTTCAGCTCACTCCCCCTTCCTTATGTCCTGTAAATAATGTGTACCGGTTTGTAGCTGGTATTTTTATCAGCAGCTGCTGTCCAAGGTTCTTCTGCAGAGTTTAGGAAGCCTGTTGAAAATATAAAAAGTGAGAGAGGAATGTATGTATTGTGCCATAATCGTATATACGCTTGTAAGAAGTTTTCTATAACTCACTCAGCTTTGCAGGCTTGTGCCCGGCTGGGTCAAAACAGCGCTGTTTTTAATAAATCATTTGTATCCCTCAAGTCTGTGTCCGGAGTTCTCTGGTTTGCCAAGATTGCTACTACACTAACAGTTCCTGTCTCCACTACCAGGGATGCTTGGATGGGAGTTGTAAAAGATGCCACCCTCATCATCCTGGGCCCACAATCAGGTACACGACAAAAGCTTTATTGAAAAGCTGAGGTCATTGGTGTTTGGCTATTTCATTTGCTAGGAGATACTGGTAAACAGTGTGGACAATCTTTCGGTCACTAACAGATTCTGTTGGATTGTAAGCAATGACCCTTTTTGCAATAGTTTGGCTTTAGTTGTGCCTTAAAGCAATATTAAACCCAAAACCAAAAATGTAATGTAACGCTTCCCCCAAGGGAGCTGCTTGGTCATTTTGGTTCTGTTCTGCTCCTCGACTCCAACAACAACCTCAACCCTTCTAACACACCTGATTGAATTGAAGTCACTAGAACACTTATAAAAACATGAGCATAGATACTTTTAGGTTCCATGCACACTAGCTTCAAAATCCTAGAGGAGTTTAGCATTTTGCCTGTAGAAGCAACTAATGTGATCCTATGTGTCCATGCACATTAGGTAGTGTATAGGCAAATTGTAAGCTCATAGTTTAGAGGCAAAAAAAATCCTTCTGTTTTGCATTTTTTTTTAGTTTTTTTCAGGCAGAAAAAATGCAAACTGGTACACTAGTACAAAAAAAAGCTAAAAATTTGTGTTTTTTTCTGCCCAGAGTGCTGGTGTTTTTTTAAGCTAGCGTGCCTGGAGCCTTAACTTGGTTGTGAGGTAATACCAGGATATAAACACAAGACTTGGGTGGAGCCGCACTTTCTGACGTCAAGCAGCCGCTGCCGAAGCGGCGGACATCTTGGTACTCCATTTTTTTATCATTACTTTTATATCTTCCACGTGGATGATCTTTTATATATTGCTTAATAAAATACTACACTATATACGATTTCTGGCTCCTGTGGTGAGCTATCCTTTGTAGGAGAGGGTCCACCTGCAGTTTGCCCTTGGCGGAGCATTCCATACAGAGACTTCTTTGCTGTTTCCTATGTCCAGATGAGATGTGCTTACATGTTGTTTACCAGTAGTTGTCTGGTGAGTGTACATCTGACAGTGGTGGTGGATTCCCTTTCTGGATCACTTCACAATATTTCACTGTGATTGCTGTGCCTATAGTTCCATGGACATTATTAGTTTATATCATACTGATATATATGGACTTTATTAATTTCCACTTTACTTGTTGCACTTGACTGCCCCACATTCATTGAATGGTTTTTTTTTGTTTTTATGCTTATATGTTTTCACTTTATATGTTGCACTTGATTGTTCCGTTTATTATTTACCTTATCTCTGTACCTCAGATCTGCATTGCACTTGATTACCTCATATTAATATTATTTATTATGCACTTTTATACCATATTTATAAGGATTTGTTACCTTTACCTTTGTGCTAGCCGCTTTATATTTCCAGCTCTCGCCTATGCATGACTGTTTAGAGGTAAATTAACTCAGCGTACGGTGTTGGTACAGTTTAGTGTGCATGATGGTATGAACATAAATGAACACAAAGGATAGATTCAGACTCAGCCCACTAGACAGTATAATCACTTTGCCAAAGTCATTTACAATAGAGTAAGGTAATACAGAATTGAGTTCTGTGCCACTAAACTGGAAATAAATCAGCAACATCAACAATAAGCAATGCGTATAAACATCAACTGTAGTGTGGATAAAGATACTATTGCGGATTTAGAGCACACTCTAAGGAAAGGCAAGGGTCCTGTGCAAAATTCCCTGAGAGGTACCTCTTAAATAAGCAATAGCTAAAGATCTCTGTGTAGCAACTGTAAAGGGGCAATCTTTAGTCCTGACTCTTGAGCCAGCTAACGTTAGGGCCCAGTTGTACTGTTGGTGCGCATGAGGACAGTCCCAGTCAGTCCTGAAGGCAGCATTAAGGCTACTAGGCAGCTGTTTAATGAGTTCCCAGGGGCGGACTGACAACTCATGTTGCCCCCGGGCAATAGGGGATCATGGGGCCCCTGTGTCCTTGCCCAAACTCAAAAAAGTCTATGAAAAAGGTACCAGGGGCATCTCATGGGGCCCCCTACTGACCCTGGGCCCTCTGGCAGTGCTGAGTTTCCAAATGGTCAGTCCGCCCCTGTGAGTTCCTAAAAGGCTCAGTCTCTCTAGTAGCAATAGGTTATGTAATAATGTTGTTATGGTGGCCATAACAACAGGTTATGGCCACCAGGCCCTTTCAGTGTTAAATGTACTAGCAGATTAATGTATACTAACAAATTGAAGCCAAACTCCAACTCACACTTTATAAGTAGTTAAAGCAAACATTTTTTTTTCCGTTTGGGATAAAGGTTTTAAGTAAATAAATAAAAGCTAATCATTGTAAGCACCCCTGTCATTAGTAAGTGGATTGCCTCATCTCTGTAACTGATACTTCTGCAAGACAGCTTGTTCTGTTGAAAAACAAAAGACTTACTGGCTAGATCGCCAGATGAAAAAGAGAATGAAAGAAGAAAACTAAGGCAGCCGTCACATCCAAGAATTGATAAGCTACAATATAATAAATGTTTGATTTTTGGGTTTAGCACTGTTGTAAGGACTCATTCACAACAAGCACCACTAAATGCACAGCTGCTGGTGTGTGCTGTGAGGAACAGTGTTGATGCGCCTATCCTTGTGCATTGTACTGTTTAGTTTTCTCTTTTTTGTTTAACCTCTTCCCTGCCGCCCTATAGCAGATATACTGCTACAGGGCGGCAGGGGTGCGTAAAATCATGTATATATACATGATTTCACATATCCGGGTAGGGGGCGTGCATGAGCTGCGTGTGCTCCCTACCCATCGCGGCTGCGGCTGTCAATCACCGGGTTCCCACCGGTAATTACCTGCTGGCGCCCGGTGATTACTGAGCATCTCCGACGGGGAGGAAGACTGTTTTGTTTACAGTTTTCCTAACTGTCGGCTCAGGCATACTGCGCTGGATGGCTCTGCACAGTACAGCCATCCTGATCAGTGTACTGACAGTGAAGAACCAACACACCGCACCCTAGTAAAGCACTCCCAGCACACAGTTAACCCTTTGATTGCCCCTCATATTAACCCCTTCCTGCCCAGTGCCATTAGTATAGTATCACTGATTTTTTTTTTAGCACCGATCACAGTATTGTGTCACTAGGGATGTCAGTGACACCAAGTCAGTTTGCCCCCAGTGTCAGAATGTCCCCCGCAGTCCTGCTAAAAGTCCCTAATCATTACTATTGGAAAAAAAAAAACCCAGAATCTATACCACCATTTGTAAACGCTATAACTTTCACGTAAACCAATTAATTTATACGTATTGGGGTTTTTTTTAGCAAAGACATGTAGCAGAATACATTTTGGCCTAAATTTTCTGATGAAATTTGATTTTTAAAATTTATTACTGGACATACTGGTTTAATAGCAAAAACTCCAAAATATAGTTTTTTTTTCTAAAAATTGTCGGTCTTTTTTTTTACAGTGAAAAAAAAAAACCGCACAGGCGATCAAATGCCACTGAAAGAAAGCTCAATTCGTGGGGAAAAAAGACGTACATTTAATTTGGGTGCAGTGTTGCATGACCGCACAATTGTCAGTTAAAGTGATGCAGCGCCGTAACGCAGAAAATGGCCCGGTCAGGAGGGGGGGGGGGGGAATCCTCAGGAGGGCAAGTGGTTAAGCTTTATTCAGATGTCTTAAATGACATTTCGTTCAGTTCTGTTCACTGTAGCGGCATTGTGATGAGATAGTTTACATCTCAGCATTGCACTGCACTGAACAAAAATAGTCCATACAGTACGGATTTTCATTGCACATCGCTGCCAGGCAGAGGTGTCAACTGACATAGAAAGCATTCCAACTGCCCTGAGTTTACATTGGGACTGCACCGGGCATGAAAATCAACTGTGCTGCACAGATTCGTCCTGATCTATGCTGAAAATCCGATGTGAAACCTTGCCTCAGTGCAGGAGCTTCCTGTAATAAAGACCCGGTCACTGCTGCTCCCTCACCCTTGGGCAGGGTGACCAGTATTGTCTCTATCCCCTCCTGTAGATCTCTGCAGGCAGTTCTGTAGTGGGTAGAGCCTACTGAGTCCCTCCTACAAATCTGCTCTCTATACAGGCTTTGTATAGGACAGTGATGATGTCACTGCTACATTTGCATGGTAATATCTGGGTTTGAAAAGGCATTTGGGGCACACAAAGTATATTTATTTCCGTTGTGCATGTATTAAATATTTGAATAGTTTTTTGTGCCTGGATGCCACCTTTAACTCTGCAGCATGCACCAAAACATAACATATGTGTTTTGAGTAAATTGACCCTTTAAAGTGTTACTAAACCCAGGACCCTGCATTCACTATATCTGGTCTCCCCGGACCCTGCATTCACAATATCTGGTCACCCCGGACCCTGCATTCACTATATCTGGTCTCCCTGGACCCTGCATTCACTATATCTGGTCTCCCCGGACCCTGCATTCACTATATCTGGTCTCCCCAGACCCTGCATTCACTATATCTGGTCTCCTCGGACCCTGCATTCACTATATCTGGTCTCCCCGGACCCTGCATTCACTATATCTGGTCTCCCGGACCCTGCATTCACTATATCTGGTCTCCCTGGACCCTGCATTCACTATATCTGGTCTCCCCGGACCCTGCATTCACTATATCCGGTCTCCCCGAGCCCCGCATTCACTCTATCTGGTCTTCCCGGACCCTGAATTCACTATATCTTGTCTCCCCGGACCCTGCATTCACTATATCTGGCCTCCCCGGACCCTGCATTCACTATATCTGGTCTCCCCGGACCCCGCATTCACTATATCTGGTTTCCACGGACCCTGCATTCACTATATCCGGTCTCCCTGGACCCTGCATTCACTATATCTGTCTCCCCAGACCCTGCATTCACTATATCCGGTCTCTCTGGACCCTGCATTCACTATATCAGGTCCCCCTGGACCCTGCATTCACTATATCCGGTCTCCCCGGACCCTGCATTCACTATATCTGGTCTCCCCGGACCCTGCATTCAGTCTATCTGGTCTCCCCGGACCCTGCATTCACTATATCTGGTCTCCCCGGACCCTGCATTCACTATATCTGGTCTCCCCAGACCCTGCATTCACTATATCTGGTCTCCCCGGACCCTGCATTCACTATATCCGGTCTCCCCGGACCCTGCATTCACTATATCCGGTCTCCCCGGACCCTGCATTCACTATATCCGGTCTCCCCGGACCCTGCATTCACTATATCTGGTCTCCACAGACCCTGCATTCACTATATCTAGTCTCCCCGGACCCTGCATTCACTATATCTGGTCGCCACAGACCCTGCATTCACTATATCTAGTCTCCCCGGACCCTGCATTCACTATATCTAGTCTCCCATAGTACACAGAATGTGGAAATGCAACTATTTTAGTAAATATAAACTGCTAAATACCTTTTCTCATCTTGTGTCTTCTATCAGTGTTCAGCAGAGCACTGGTTACAGCTTATAGGAGGAGTTGTCTTTCTGCTCTAGGAGGATGCAGAACCCCTGACCTCTGTCTGGATTGTGCTGATCACATACACTCTCCCAAGGAAAAAAAAAACCTCTCTAGCAATACACACTAAACTGAGCATGTGCAAAATGGCTATGGGTTCAGTCTGTCTTATCAGGAGATAATGGGAAGAGAAGAATGGGGCTCTAGAAGAAGGGGAGGGACAGAGAAGACAGGATCAAACATCCTTTTTATATAATGCAGAGGATTAACCCCTTAGGTTCCACAGTGAGTATAACAAGCATACTTTACTGCATATACAGACTGATTGTACTGTTGTGGGTTTAGTAACACTTCAATATAGCACAGAGGTTTCCTTCATTATAGTCTGGCAGGTCCAAGCAATTGATCGTACAGCGATCTCTACTTTCTCTCAAAGCCCAACTTTGGGAAAATTTTAAACTATCCCTTCTGGTGGGGCTACACCGGCACTGCAAGTGTTAATAGCTTGTTTTTTGTAGGGGGAGAGAAGAAACGGTTGTACTTATCTGATACTCCGCTCTTCTGCCTGGACAGTGCTGATTGGCCCTTTGCTGAGCACATGTACTCACCCAAAAAAACAAAACAAAACCTCTCTAGCAATACACACCAAACTGAGCATGTGCAGAGTATCTCAACATGATATGGCTTATCAGGAGATAAGAGGGGGGCACTGGAAGAAGGGGAGGAACAGAGAAGACAGGATCAAACAGCATTTTTACACTACGCATAGGACTGACCCCTTAGGTTCCACAGTGAAGTAGAACAAGCATGCTTTACTGCATATACAGACTGATTTTACTGTTGTGGGTTTAGTAACACTTCAATATAGCATTGCAATTTCCTTCAATAGGCTCCATGTACACTGCAGCTGATAAACTCACGTTCAGGAGCTTTTCTGCGTTTTTTTTTGAGCAGCCCCCGAACCCTCCCTAACGTTTTCCTATGTGTCCATGTACACATCGTCGTTTACAGGCAGTTGAGTTTACAGTCGTTTTTTTTTTTTGAACGCACCAAACTTGCGTTCAGGAGTAGATTTTATCAGCGTTTCAAACGCCAAATGCTTGTAAATGCGTGTAAACGCGGCTAACCACATTTATAAGCGTTTGTAAAATGCTTTTAACTCTTCCATTTCCAGATGCTGTCCAGAGCCTTTTTTCATCATGAAAAATGCATTCAAAGCGTTTTCCCGGTACTCAGATGGACCTGGTACACCAGACTTTGAGGTTTTGCATGAAAGAAAATATGTTAGATACTGCTGCAATAATTTCTGCACAGAAATTAGCTGGAACACATCCAAACACCAGAAAAAAAATAAAAAGACCACTAATCTCAACACATACTGCTCTCTCTGCTTCTGCTCTCTCTATTTCTCTCAAAATGTCTGATATAGTTAATTTTTTACGGTTTTTCATTCTGGGCATTTGGAAGGTCTCCTGAGGTTATCTTTAACCACTAGCCTACAGGGCACTTATACCCCCTTCCTGTCCAGGGCAATTTTCAGCTTTCAGTGCTGTCACACTTTGAATGACAATTGCGCGGTCATGCAACACTGTACCCATATGAAATTTTTTAGCATTTTTTTGAGACAGATAGAGCTTTCTTTTGGTGGTATTTAATCACCTCTGTGATTTTTATTTTTTCTTAACCGCTTGCCGCCCTGCCACTGTGTATATACGTGTGCAGGGCGGCAGTGGAGCGCAAAAGCACGTTTTAAAACGTGCTCCGCGCTCCCGACACATTCGCGGGTAGGGGGCGCGCTCCTGCCGACCCGCGCGGTGACACAAGTCGATCCAGGAGGGATCAATCATTAGATTTCAGCCAGTGATTTCTGTCTGAAATCGGATGATCGGTCCCTGTCCTATCCTGTCCTGTGTTGACATTTACACAGGACAGGATATGATGTCATTCTTCTCTGCCTGGACACATTCCGTTCCAGACAGAGAAGAAGACATCCAAAAAGTGAGTACACAAGCACTACACTACAGTTAGAACACTCTAGGACACATTTAACCCCCTGATCGCCCCCCCCCCCCCAGTTAACCCCTTCACTGCCCTGTCACCAGTGTCACTGATCAGTGAAGCGATTTTTACTGATCAGTGTCGCTGGCAACTTCCGTTAGAGTTAGCGCCCCTCCCAGATAGCGCCAGTTTGCCCGCTAATACACCAGTAGTCCCGTCTAACCCCTTGATCGCCCCCCCCCCCAGTTAACCCCTTCACTGCCCTGTCACCAGTGTCACTGATCAGTGAACCAATTTTTACCGATCACTGTATCAGTGTCGCTGGCGACTTCCGATAGTGTTAGCGCCCCTCCCAGATAGCGCCAGTTTGCCCGCCAGTACACCAGTAATCCCCCATTTAACCCCTTAATCTCCCCCCCCCCAGTTAACCCCTTCACTGCCCTGTCACCAGTGTCACTGATCAGTGAAGCGATTTTTACTGATCACTGTATCAGTGTCGCTGGCGACTTCCGATAGTGTTAGCGCCCCTCCCAGATAGCACCAGATTGCCCGCCAGTACACCAGTAATCCCGTTTAACCCCTTGATCGCCCCCCCCCCCGTTAACCCCTTCACTGCCCTGTCACCAGTGTCATTGATCAGTGAACAGATTTTTACTGATCACTGTATCAGTGTCGCTGGCGACTTCCGATAGTGTTAGCGCACCTCCCAGATAGCGCCAGTTTGCCCGCTAGTGCACCAGAAATCCCATTTAACCCCTTGATCGCCCCCTCCCCCCCCCCCAGTTAACCCCTTCACTGCCCTGTCACCAGTGTCATTGATTACAGTGAACAGATTTTTACTGATCACTGTATTAGTGTCACTGGTGACTTCCGATGTTAGCGCCCCTCCTAGATAGCGCCAGTTTGCCCGCTAATGCACAGGATTTTTTTTTACCAAAAACATGTAGCAGAATACATTTTGGCTTAAATTTATGACTAACTTTGAGTTTATGATAGATTTTTTATAGCTTAAAGTAGAAAATATTGTTTTTTTTCAAAATTTTCGTAATTTTTTTTGATTATAGCGCAAAAAATAAAAAGCGCACAGGTGATCAAATACCACCAAAAGAAAGCTCTATTTGTGTGAAAAAAAGGACGTAAATTTCGTTTTTGGGTGCAGCATTGCATGACCGCGCAATTATCATTTGAATTAGTGCAGCGCTGTATAGCAAAAAAATGCATAAATTACAGTATCTATACCATAGTTTGTAGACGCTATAACTTTCACACAAAGCAATCAATATACACTTATTGGGATTTTTTTTACCAAAAACATGGAGCAGAATACATTTTGGCTTAAATTTATGACTAACTTTGAGTTTACGATATATTTTTTATAGCTGAAAGTAGAAAATATTGTTGTTTTTTTTCAAAAATTTTGTGGTTTTTTTGTTTATAGCGCAAAAAATAAAAAGTGCACAGGTGATCAAATACCACCAAAAGAAAGCTCTATTTGTGTGAAAAAAAGGACGTAAATTTTGTTTGGGTACAGCATTGCATGACCGCGCAATTATCTTTTGAATTAGTGCAGCGCCAAACAGCAAAAAAAGGCCTGGTCATTAAGGGGGGTAAATCCTCAGGGGCTCAAGTGGTTAAACAAACCAAAAACCACAGAAAATTTTGGGAAAAAAAAATCTTTTTTCTTAGTTTATGTTATATAATTTTGTAAATAAGTGATTTTTCTCCTTCACTGATGTGCGCTAATGAGGCTGTAGTGATGGGCACTGATAGTTGGCACTGATGGGCACTGATGAGGAGGTACTGGTAGGTTGCACTGATGGGCATTGACAGGCATCACTTATGGGCACTGAAAGGCAGCACTGATACATGACACTGATACATGACACTGATACATGGCACTGATAGGCGGCACTGATAGGCAGCACTGACTGGCACTGATAGGTGGCACTGACTGGCACTGATAGCCGGCACTGACCGGCACTGATGCGCACTGATAGGCGACACTGACTGGCACTGATAGGTGGCACTGATTGGCAGTACTGATAGGTGGCACTGATTGGCATTGATAGGTGGCACTGATGGGTGACATTGAAAGGCAGCTCAGATGGGCACTGACATGTGGCATTGATGTGCACTGGTATGCACTGATATGTGGCATTGATGTGGCACTGATGGGCACTGGCACGTGGCACTGATGAGCACTGACAGGTGGCACTTCTGGGGCCACACTGATTATCAGGGCACACTGATCATCAGTGCCCTGATGATCAGTGTACATGTCCCCACCACCGAAAGCCGATTACCGGCTCTCCTCTCGAGCTGTCAGCTTGACAGCTCGTGAGGAGAGAAATGCCGATAACCGGCATTTCCATGTTTACATGTGATCAGCTGTGATTGGACACAGCTGATCACATGACCAAGCCGCGCATGCGCAGTGAGAATTGTAGGATGTCATATGACGTACTATCAGAACGAGAGAACCACCTTGTGCCCGTCATTGTACTATAGGGCGGGCGGAAGGTGGTTAAAAAACACTTCTAAATGCAAATGCTCATAAACGCGGTATGTAAACGCGGCTAAACAGACTTTTGTAACCTGCGTTTTCCAGCAGTCAGTTTCCATCGTTCATACGTGTACATGGAGCCTTATAGTCTGGCATTCTACTTATAAAATTCTCGTATGAATTATTTTTCAGATTTACAATACAGTGGTTTATATACTGGTAGATTAAATAACATTGACAACCCCCTATTCTTTCCCTTACTTTGTGTTCATTAAAACATGAAGATTTTGTGATTATAGACCCATGGATGCGCATACTCCATGCTGATGCTGTAATTGTCATTGTGGCATTCATATTGTACTCCTGTAGCAAGGTGCCATCTTCAGCCGAGCTGTGCACAGCTATGGTCAGATCCATGGCTCTGTACAATGGGCAGGAAAAGCTCCAATCCATCTACTCCAGGGGGACCGCGGAGCTGTCTGAGCTGAAAGAGCCCATGTGACATCAGACGGATTGTTTCCCTGCTTCCAGCGCTGACCTTTGTTTGATTCCTATGCAGCTGTCTCCACACCCATTGGAGCATGGGAAGAAGGTAACGCAGCACTGGTACAATACAAAGGATGCAGTGAGACCCACGGCAATGTGAAACAGCCCACTGAACCTGCCTGCAATCGATAAAGGAAAACTCCGAATTGAATGATCTAACTTTAAAGAGGAACGTAACTCCCCCCCCTTATATCCCCTCTAATCTGTTATCTGCATACTTGTAGGCAGGTGCAGTTTTGCCTCCCTACATGGGTGGCGCTGTGGAGTGGCCACCATGCAGAGGGAACTCTGAGCCCTCCGCAGGCGTCATCAGGGGAGCAGCTGTACGGATTGGAAGCTGCCTTGGCTGACCTCCACAGTCAACTTGTGCCAACTAGTGTGGGCAGCGCTAATGAATAGGGATCTTGGACTCTCTAGGGAGCTGCGCTTCGCTGCAGCACTCCAAGCCCTGTGACACCATCTTCTTCTGATGTCACCAGGGGATGTCGGCTGTCTCCTCCCAGTTTATCTAACAGTGTTGTAATTTTATATAAGCCAGCCCCCATGATGATGCAGCGCATGTGACAGAGTAGTACCCCATGGCCTCCTGGGACCTCTGATATGGGTAAATCAAGGGGCATTGTATTTGTTATTTTGGCCTAGGCCAGAAAGATGGAAGTGCAGGAAAGGGGTCCCCAAAAAAGGCATTTTCTGCCATTAAAATTTCAAAAAAAAAAATAGATGATGAGGGGGGCAGGAAGCGATTGATATAAAGTTGATGGGCAGGGTAATGTTCTACTTTAATAGAGTTGCCATGTTTTCCAGACAGCTTTGACATTAGGGTCTCATGTAGTAAGTAAAGGAATAAACCTCCCAGTAATGCTATAACTAGGCTGCAGCTAGAGGGAGCTGTAATGATTTGTAGTGTGACTTCAGGAGACTAACAACCAACAAGCTCAGATTAAACTCAAAATGAGCAAGTGAGGTATGTGTTTTCTGTTCTCCTCTCGATACAGGTTAGTCACACTTGGTTTATGCTATCTTTGTTCAGTTTTGTGTTTGTTCTGACAATCACTTTCTCTGTTTAGTATCCTATATGTTAGCAATGGTAACTAACACAAATTGATGTGTTTTTCCATATGGCCTGTGCTGCCACTATAAAGAAAGCACTGTAGTTACCTGTATAATGTGATCCATTTATGTTTGTCCCATTAAACTCGGAATGAGCAAGTGAGCCACATGTGTTTTCTGTTCTCCTCTTGATACAGGTTAGTCACACTTGGTTTATGCTATCTTTGTTCAGTTTTGTGTTTGTTCTGACATTCGCTTTCTCTGTTTAGTTTCCTATACAGTTGCAAGAAAAAGTATGTGAACCCCTTGGGATTACGTGGAGTTTTGCATGAATTGGGCATAAAATGTGCTCTGAACGTCATCTAAGTCACAACAAAGAAGAACACAGTCTGCTGAACATAATACTACACAAACATTAGATGTTGCCATGGTTTAATTGCACAGTATATTTTGCCAGTAGTGCTGTGGAACATCCAGGTGTTCTTTTGCAAACTTCAAACGTGCTGCAATATTCTTTTGGACAGCAATGGCTTCCTCCGTGGTGTCCTCCCATGTACTCCATTCTTGTTTAATGTTTTCCTTATTGTAGATCTGTCAACAAAAATGTTAGCATGTGCCAGAGATTTCTGTAGGTCTTTAGCTGACACTCTGGGATTCTTCTTTACCTCATGCAGCATTCTGCGCTGTGCTCTTGCAGTCATTTTTACAGGATGACCCCATGCCTAGGGAGAGTAGCAACAGTGCTAAACTTTCTCCATTTGTAGACAGTCTGTCTTACCGTGGACACATGAACATCAAGGCTTTTGGAGATACTTTGTAACCCTTTCCAGCTTCATGAAAGTCAACAATTCTTGATCGTAGGTCTTCTGAGAGCTCTTTTCTGCGAGGCATGGTTCACATCAGACAGTGCTTCTTGAAACCAGTAAACCCAAAACAGGTGTGTGTTTTGTAAGGGCAGGACAGCTGTCAGCAACACATCCAATATCAGCACACTGATTGGAGTCAAGGTTGGCTCACTCCTGGCTCCAATTAGCTCTGGGAGAAGTCATTAAGCTAGGGCCTCACATATTTTTTCCTCCCTGCACTGTGAATGTTTACATGTTATGTGCAATTAAACCATGGCAACATCTAATGTTTGTGTAGTACTATGTTCAGCAGACTGTGTTCTTCTATTGTTTTGACTTAGATGATGTTCAGAGCACATTTTATGCACAATTCATGCAAAACTCCACGTAATCCCAAGGGGTTCACATACTTTTTCTTGCAACTGTATGTTAGCAATGGTAACTAACACAAATTGATGTGCTTTCCATATGACCTGTGCTGCCACTATAAAGAAAATACTGTAGTTTTCTGTACAATGTGATCCATTTCTGTTTGTCGCAATAAACTCATAATGAGCAGTGAGTCACATGTGTTTTCTGTTCTCCATTTGATACAGACACTGCAGGTTTGTCATACTTCGCACACAGAGATACCGATAGTCCTATGACACATGTACACTGGACATTATTTAAGGGTGTCTGCCTTTAGATGCCCCTACCCATTAGCCTATGTGTCCATGCATAGGCGTTTATAGGAGCTAAGAGGCAGAAATGCGTCCAGGAGCAGTGAAGTTTTGGCAGAAAAAAGCTTGCTGCTTGTAAGCCTGTGCAAATGTCCATTGAGAGGGCAGTGCGCCTGCACCGGTGACATCACCAGCACTGCTAAAGTAAATGTCTCCTAAACAGTGCACATTTTGGAGATATTTATAGTACCTACAGGTAAGTCTTATTAAAGACTTACCTGTAGGTAAAATATAAAAAAAAAATGTTACTACCAATTTAAGCTGGCCATTTGTGGATCATTTTTTTTTTTCGATGTCCAGCAGGCTCATCGAAAAAAACACAAGCGAGGTGGATAGAGGAATCCTCCCCTTTCGGCTATTGTATTCTGACAGCCGGGACTCCCCCAGTGTTAGAATACACTGAACAGCGCTATTATTATTATTATTATACAGTATTTATAAAGCGCCAATAGTTCGCTCAGCGCTGTACATTACAAAGGGGGACATGAACATGTGACAGAACAATACCAATACAATGCAAAACATGAGGGGATTGAGGGCCCTGCTCTTTCGAGCTTACAATCTAGGAGGGAGGGATGGTGGCACAGGAGGAGATAGCTGTGGGGGATGGAGTGGTAGGAAGAGTGAAGGAGGTCGGCAAGTTAGCAGGGGTGGGGTAGGCTTCCCTGAAGAGGTGGGTTTTCAGGGTGCGCCTAAAGGAGAGGAGAGTAGGTGATAATCTGATGGGTTGGGGCAGGGAGTTCCAGAGGATGGGTGACACCCTGGAGAAGTCCTGGATGGGCAAGGGAGGAGGAGACCAGGGAACTAGAGAGAAGGAGGTCTTGTGAGGAGCGGAGTGTGCATGCTGGGTGGTACTTGGATATTAGGTCGGTGATGTAGTTCAGGGCAGTATGGTGGACGGCTTTGTACGTCAGTGTTAGGATTTTGAATTTTATCCGTTGTACAATCGGAAGCCAGTGGAGGGATTGGCAGAGGGAGGTGACGACAGAGCTGTTTGGAAAGGTGAATGAGTCTGGAAGCCGTATTCAGGATCGACTGTAGCAGGGATAGCCAGCGGCGAGGCAGGCCAGTGAGGAGGGAGTTGCAGTAGTCGAGTCGTGATATGATGAGGGAGTGGATGAGCTGTTTTCGTGGTTTCTGGAGTTAGGAACGTGCGTATTTTGGCGATGTTGTGGAGGTGGAGTCTGCACGAGTTTGTTAAAGATTGGACTTGAGGCTGGAAGGATAGGTTGGAGTCCAGAATGACACCAAGTATTCTGGCCTGCGGGGCGGGTTTGATGGTGGTGTTGTTGGACATGATGGAGAAGTCAATGGGGGGTGGGGTCCGGGCTGGGGGGAAGACAAGAAACTCGGTTTTGGACAGGTTCAGTTTAAGGAAGTGGAGTGACATCCAGTCTGATATGTCGCTTAGTAGGTGTGTGATTTGGGCGGAGACAAGTGATAGTTGAAGCCGTGAGAATGTATGAGTTGGCCAAGGGAGGAGGTGTAGATGGAGAAGAGAAGGGGCCCGAGGACAGAGCCTTGAGGGACCCCAACAGAGAGGGGGAGTGAGAGGGAGGTGGTGGCATTATAGGTAATGCTGAAAGAGCGTTGTGACAGGTAGGATGAGAGCCAGGAGAGAGCAGAATCTCTGAGGCCGAGGGAGTGTTTTTTTGAGGAGGAGGGGGTGGTCGACTGTGTCGAAGGCCGCGGAGAGGTCAAGGAGTAGGAGCACTGAATAGTGGCCATTAGCTTTGGCGTTGAGAAGGTCATTGGAGAGTTTGAGTAAGGCAGTTTCGGTGGAGTGTAGGGGACGGAAGCCAGACTGTAGGGGACGAGGAGGTTGTTGTCGTTGAGGTGAGAGCATAAGGCGGATATAGACTAGGTGCTCGAGGAGTTTGGATGTGAATGGGAGCAGGGAGATGGCTCTGAGGTTGTTCGGGTCATTGGGGTCCAGGGAGGGCTTTTTAAGTGTGGGGGTGATGTGTGCTATGGCCCATAGACTGCAGCCACTGATCAAACTAAATTTTTTCCAGCATTCTCATTTGACAGAAATCGATTGTTAGATCGACTTCTGTCGAATGGGAACAGCCATAAATGGATCAAAATGTGGCCAGTCCCTGCTGAACTGGACAAATTTCAATCCATCTATGGGCAGCCTAAGAAACTGAATTTGACTTAAAGTGGTTGTGAACCTCAGACATGAAATATCAAAAAAGTATATCCCTCTATAGTGTGTACTTGTCTCAATCCAGAGCACTAAGTGTCATTTCTGGCTGCTACCTTGTTCCTCTGCTATGAGCATGAATCACTTCTGGCAAGTTTTCCTGACACCAAGAAAAAAAAGGTGACGGGAGGGAGCTCCAGTGTACAACTTGTGAATGACAGCCTCAGCTCTGTTCCTGTGTGCTGTGTAGGAGGATTTATTCATCTCTATGTATCACCTGAGGCCAGTCACTTCACTAAGTATATGTAAGGGTTTACATCCACTTTAAATGAGTCTCTTGCAATCCTCTGTTTAGCAGCCCTTGGTGCTCGGCTGCAGTGCCTATCAAACAACAATTTTCCAACAACCCGTTCATGAGAACTCAATCATTAAATCGACTTCGCACTAACGGAAACAATAATAGATGGATCAAAATTCAGAAAGCCGAATTGCGGAAATTTTTCTTTTCTATATTTTTGTATTTTTGAATATATATTTTTAGCTCCTCCCCTGCCACCATTCCGGCCCAGGCTGGAATGACATGTACCTAGTCCTGCAGCCTCCTGGAATATTTACATCACCTCTCCCAGGAGGCTGCAGGATCAGCACCCAAAGCGGCCAGCACTACAGAAAAGAGGGAAAAAACATGGGGAAGTAGGGGGGAGTTAAGTATCGCTTTAAGCAACTAAAACTCATGAATAGGTTTGTTCAACCAAACCTACAATGTCTCCTACATGAGTTTTACCACCGGTACTTCCTTTTCCCTCCACTTTTTCAGCAAGAAGAAGAATGCAGCGGAGGTAATTCAGAGGTTCTCAGGTCAATTCTAGATATATACCGTTCCCCGGTCTTGCCGCAGAACAACTGTTAAATGCTGATGTACATAGTCAAACTCCAAGAGATGGGGTTTCCTCAATAGACTCAAGGTCGTAAGTCATCCTCAAAATCCATAAAAGCCAGTCCAGCATGGCCGCCAGAGCCGTAGGCCGCAAATTAACATCGATCTGAGAGATCTCAGCGAGGGCAGCTCGGCTCGTTCTTCTCTTTATTAAACCTTTATTAAACCTGCTGGCACATTATCTACCTCGCCAGTGAGGACCTGTCACTAAACGACACGCATTCTAAGCATTATCCTGTTAGGGATTAATCAAATGAACAAAATTGCCTGGGCCTTTTATCTGACAAAATGCACGCAGAATGAGAGGGACTTAAATACTGGCTTTACTGCATACTGATGGCATACTGTGCTTACTTAACATGGTAGTGCAAAGAGGAAAGGTGTATCACAACACACAGCAACCAATTAGAATATGCATTTCATTTCTAGGTTTCTTGCAAAGAAGACTAATAAAAAGCATTCGCTAAGAATAAGTTATTATGTTATATTAATATATAATCATTTCTATTTTTATATAGATATAATAAGTTATAAAATGATGTATAAACTATGTTATATACATTTCTGTTTAAATTTCTGTGTGTGTGTGTATATATATATATATATATATATATACATACAGTATATCTGCAATCTTGTCCCTGACATCCTTTGACAGCTCTTTGGTCCATGGTGGTGAGGTTTGAATGGAAGAGATTCTGTGGACAGGTGTCTTTTATACACATAACGAGTTGTCGTTAAGAGCCCCTTCTTAGATTGACAGGTCTAATCTGTGTACCACATGAGCACATATCCAGTCTGTGGGAGCCAGAATTATTGTTGGTTGGTAGGGGATCAAATACTTATTTTACTCACTGAACTGCAACTCAATTTATAACATTTGTATCATGTGTTTTTTCTGGATTTTTGGTTGATATTCTTTTCTATTATTTAAAATACATGTATGATAAATATGGTACTTGTCTGTTAATTCACCGGATTTATATATACAGTCAGGTCCATAAATATTGGGACATTGACACAATTCTAACATTTGTGGCTCTATACACCACCACAATGGATTTGAAATGAAACGAACAAGATGTGCTTTAACTGCAGACTGTCAGCTTTAATTTGAGGGTATTACATCTAAATCAGGTGAACGGTGTAGGAATTACAACAGTTTGCATATGTGCCTCCCACTTGTCAAGGGACCAAAAGTAATAAGACAGAATAATAATCATAAATCAAACTTTCACTTTTTAATACTTGGTTGCAAATCCTTTGCAGTCAATTACAGCCTGAAGTCTGGAACGCATAGACATCACCAGACACTGGGTTTCATCCCTGGTGATGCTCTGCCAGGCCTCTACTGCAACTGTCTTCAGTTCCTGCTTGTTCTTGGGGCATTTTCCCTTCAGTTTTGTCTTCAGCAAGTGAAATGCATGCTCAATCGGATTCAGGTCAGGTGATTGACTTGGCCATTGCATAACAGTCCACTTCTTTCCCTTAAAAAACTCTTTGGTTGCTTTTGCAGTATGCTTTGGGTCATTGTCCATCTGCACTGTGAAGCGGCGTCCAATGAGTTGTGAAGCATTTGGCTGAATATGAGCAGATAATATTCCCGAAACACTTCAGAATTCATCCTGCTGCTTTTGTCAGCAGTCACATCATCAATAAATACAAGAGAACCAGTTCCATTGGCAGCCATACATGCCCACGCCATGACACTACCACCACCATGCTTCGCTGATGATGTGGTATGCTTAGGATCATGAGCAGTTCCTTTCCTTCTCCATACTCTTCTCTTCCCATCACTCTGGTACAAGTTGATCTTGGTCTCATATGTCCATAGGATGTTGTTCCTGAACTGTGAAGGCTTTTTTAGATGTCGTTTGGCAAACTCTAATCTGGCCTTCCTGTTTTTGAGGCTCACCAATGGTTTCCATCTTGTGGTGAACCCTCTGTATTCACTCTGGTGAAGTCTTCTCTTGATTGACTTTGACACACATACACCTACCTCCTGGAGAGTGTTCTTGATCTGGCCAACTGTTGTGAAGGGTGTTTTCTTCACCAGGGAAAGAATTCTTCGGTCATCCGCCACAGTTGTCTTCTGGGTCTTTTGGTGTTGCTGAGCTCACCGGTGCGTTCTTTCTTTATAAGAATGTTCCAAACAGTTGTTTTGGCCACGCCTAATGTTTTTGCTATCTCTCTGATGGGTTTGTTTAGTTTTTTCAGCCTAATGATGGCATGGCTTGCTTCACTGATAGTGACAGCTCTTTGGATCTCATCTTGAGAGTTGACAGCAACAGATTCCAAATGCAAATAGCACACTTGAAATTAACTCTGGACCTTTTATCTGCTCATTGTAATTGGGATAATGAGGGAATAACACACACCTGGCCATGGAACAGTTGAGAAGCCAATTGTCCCATTACTTTTGGTCCCTTAAAAAGTGGGAGGCACATATGCAAACTGTTTGTAATTCCTACACCATTCACCTGATTTGGATGTAAATACCCTCAAATTAAAGCTGACAGTCTGCAGTTAAAGCACATCTTGTTCGTTTCATTTCAAATCCATTGTGGTGGTGCATAGAGCCAAAAATGTTAGAATTGTGTCAATGTCCCAATATTTATGGACCTGACTGTGTATATATATATATATATATATATATATATATATAAATCCAGTGAATTAACAGACAAGTACCTCAAATATTATAGACCCTTCATTTCTTTGTAAGTGGGCAAACTTACAAAATCTGCAAGGAATCCAATAATTATTTTTCCCACTGTATATACACTCACCGGCCACTTTATTAGGTACACTTGTTCAATTGCTTGGTAACACATATTGCTAATCAGGCAATCACATGGCAGCAATTGAATTCATTTTAGCATGTACATGTGGTGAAGATGACTTGCTGAAGTTCAAACCGAGTATCAGAATGGGGAAGAAAGGGAATTTAAGTGACTTTGAACATGGCATGGTTGTTGGTGCCAGACGGACTGGTCTGAATATTTCAAAAACTGATGATGTACTGGAATTTTCACACACAACCATCTCTAGGGTTTACAGAGAATGGTCCGAAAAAGAAAAAGTAGCTGTGACATTCAGATGGTAGGGTAAGAATTTGGCGTGATCAACATGAAAGCATGGATCCATCCTCTGCCACCATGCTTAAATAGAGAATAACCAAGCCTTGAATTTGGAGTACAAACAGCCCAAACTAATCACCGGAAATGGATAACACAGGACTGATCACTTTGGGCTGGTTGTACTCTAAATCAAGGCTTGGTTATTCTCTATTTAAGCGCGGTGGCAGAGGGCAGCTCCGTAGCCCCTAGCAGACGTCTTTTGATGAAGAAACGCGTCGGGCAGAGCCTCCCTCTGATGTCATTGCCGTGTCGGCCATCTTGCAAACGGTCTATTTGAATGCTTTTAATTATTCTACAGCTTGTAAGTAGGATTTTACTTGTGCAAATAAAAGAGTTTTGATATGTATTGCACTATGAGAGGCATGTTCTTTCTTTTATGACTTTATCTGGCACTGCATTTTGAGTTCCCATTTGGGTTTGGAGGTTTGGAAGATCCCTGTTCCTCCTGGCACGGAGAACCCCAACCATATCACAATGCTGGTTGGGACCCCCTATAATTAAGGGGTCTCCATTTCTGGTAAGCCTCCGTTCAAATTATTTGGTGGTGGTACACACCTTGGTGATTATCTGAAGGAAGATTACCCACATTGCACCTACAGCATCGATTTACAGCATTATCATCGTTCGTGGAGTCCTTATATGGACTTTGTTATATGTTTATATGGACAAAATGTCACCGTTGCTGATTTGATCATATTTCAGTTTTTCTATGTAAACTTATTGGTGTAATTTGCACAGCATTATTCATTTATTTATTTGTTAATTGCC